AAGAGTGGAACACAATGAGACAGCCCACCCTGGGGAGAAGATGGGTTTCAGAGTTCTAGGAGGCAGAGGAGAGGAAACAAGTGATCCATCAGTGGCCAGGCTTGGAGTCTTGTTAAAAATGATGGTTAGGGAAACAGAAAGCCAGTTCTGGAATAGGAAGCTGGTAACATTTTTTTCGGGAGAAGGGTCAGTTTGGAAAGGAAACAAAGAATAAGGAAACTCAGTCAGAGAGTTAAGATATATCTAGAAGGGAAACCAAACAGACCCAAGAATTGATGGCTAAGGATGAGACAACCAACAAGAGACAAAACTGGGAGCCAAAGTGTGAGATTCTGATTATGGCAAACTGGTTCTGGTCTCTGAGGAGAAAGCAGACTTGAGGTTAAAAAAAAAAAGTATGTGTGTGAGGGCAGGGGGGAAAGAAAGGGAGGTCACTGATTTCAGGGTCACAAAGCAATTGCTTTCCTCTATATTTTTAAGCCGTGCAGAGAAGCCCACTGGCCATATTAAGAAAATGGTGGCCACACTGAGAAGGGATGTCCCAAGGAGGAAAGATGGGAGACACCTCCCTCTCCAGGGCCTCCCACCTACACACAGTCCAACTGCATTCATCCATTTGGGACTATGAAGGCTATGGAAAGGTAGATTCCCTGTCTTTCAGAGGAAAGAATAAAGATCAGGGGAAGAAAGAACTAGCTATGGGAGGGCAGATTTTGATCATCAGAAGAACTCTCCTACTTAGAGCTGTGGAACTATTGCTAAGCAGAGTCTTCCTCATCATGTGCTGAGCTCTCCAGTCCCGGAAATGCTCCAGAAGGGGAGATCACATAATCTTCGTACCGACTGAAAGAAACCTTGGCGATCATTTGGTCCAACTTCTTCCTTCCACCAGAGAAACTGTCATTTTTCCCTTGACTCCTCAATTAGTTAGTGGCAGAACCAGGATTGGAACTCCAGTCTCCAAACTCACAACCAGAATTATTTCAACTGCCACAGTGAGAGGTTCCACCATAAACATCTCTCTACCCTGAACCAGCTCAGTTACTGACCCTAATAATTCCCTCTCTTTAGCCACAGGAAGCAAAGTACCACACCCAACTCTGGGCAGAGCATTTGACACATGGACGTGTCAGAGCATCTTCTCACCAGCAATTTCATCAGTCATTCTTTGCTTCCTGAAAGGGGGAAGTGAAGGCATGAGAGATGATGTCTAGGACTATGAATCTCTGCCCCTTGGCCTTGAGAAGGTAATCTGGTAGTTCTGGGAGTCTCTCCACTCCTTCCGATTATTACATTGCCCTTTATGGTCTCGGACACTTTCAGAGTTTTACCTTGTTAGTTCCATCAACACTAAATTGAAAATCACCTCGATAGCCATGCCTGTTAAAGTAAAAAGAGAAACCATTCCCTCCCCCATTCTCCTAGGAGGAAACTGAGGCACAGAAAAATTAAGTGGCTTTAGCAAAGTTAAAAAGAATTAAATGGTCCAATGTCCTGCACATTGTCTCCGTAAGCAGAGTCTGGGGAGTTTGGTAAATTCCCCAGGGTTCTCAAAGAGGGCTTCAGATAACTAGCTTCAGGGACGGCCAGGACAGGAGAGGGGACGGCTCAGTGAGGAGGTGGGGGACTATGGAGGAAGTGGAAGGAGCTGGGGTGGGGAGTGGCGTATGGGAGGAGGGGAAGAGAAGTGGCTCTAGGAGGTATTGTTAAAATAAAGAACCGCAGAAAACGCAGCAGGAGAGGAAATGGAGCGAGCCCTAGAAAAGGTAGTGAGCAAAGTTTGGGCCGCGCAGGCTGGAGCGCGCGGCCTGGGTGGAGACGGCCGAGGGCATCCCAGACACAAATCTCCAGTCCGCGCGTGCACCGCGCGTGTCTCTTCTAGGGGGACTGCAAGCCTGACGCCGCTGGAAGTGCCCCAAGTCTCACAGCATTTCCGCGGCGCGGGCGGGGAGCCTATCTCCCCGTTGCCCTCCGAGGGGAGAAACAAGCAGCCCCAATGATGCCCCGGCCCCATGTGGCCCGGTGGCCAGGCCCGGGCTCGGGAACTCGGCTCTTGGCCGCCGCACCCACTTGTCTCCCCGAGTAGGCAGAGGGGCCGCGCCGGGCACCTGGAGACGAAAACGAGCTGAAAATCGGGTCTGAGGATAAGAGACGGATCTCCCCAGCGCCGGAGCCACTGTGTAGTACCCCCTCCCACCTCCGCGGTCTCCCCTGCCCCCCTCCCGGTGATACTTACTCCGGTTCAGGGGGTTCCCGCCGACCTGGGCCGACGCCACCAGATAAAGAGTCCAGAGCCCCACCGACACCACGGCGATCGCCAGCAGCAGCCGGAAGCGCCGCCGCAGCCGCTTGACCGGCCGCAGGAGCAGCAGAAGCAGCGCGGCGCGGGGGCTCC